TATTATATATATATATAATACACACACACATACAAGGTCTGTCTGAAAAATTACAGGACTGGTATCACAAACAATTTATTTCAATTAGAAACATGATTTACACTTCAAAGTAACCCGCCTGAAACATCAGCAAGTCTACAAAGAGATCTGACATTTGCTTTTGCTCAGTATTTAGGAGAGATGAGAGTTCTGGCAGGAAAAATCATGGTAGTTTCACCTGAGCATCCAGCAGTTCCTGGCCAAGAAGAACATCACCATACTGGCAAAATCTCCCTATTCACATGATCTTGCTCTGTGTGACATTTTTCTTTTCTCCAAGCTCAAGTGGAGCTGTTTTAAAGACATGGAGGCCATCAAGAAGGCTGTAACGATGAAGCTGAGGAGCATACGAGAAGAATCCTTCCAGTTTTGCATTGAAGCGTGACAGAGAAAGATAGAAAAGTGCATTAGACTTGAGGGGAATTATTTTGAAGCAAAAACCATTTAGTTCATTGTTGTTTGGAATTTAAATAAATTGTAACATCAGTCCTGTTACTTTTCAGACAGACCTTGTGTGTATGTATGTGTGTATATATATATTTATACATATATTTCTATACAGTTCCACAAGTGAGATGTGCAAGAAAAGAAACTGATAGCATAGAACTTATGGTTACATCTTGCCAACTCAAACCTTGCCACCAATCTAGTACTGCGCTTAAATTCATAAAGTCTAGGTTCCATAGCAGAAAGTTAATCAGGACAATTACCATGAAAATATTTGTAGAAAAGGCAGAGGGAAGCCACATTACAGTTGTGAGAAAGTGATTCATGTCAAGATATCAAGTCAGGACCAACAATATTGAGGTTTCTTTTTTTTAATTTTATAAGGAATCCCTAAATATGTAGCAGGAGCATTAGGCCAAATGTGGCAGCAATATTCAAAACATGGAAGAATGGTAGACTTATAAATATGCAAGATAGATTCTGGACAGAAAAAATAGTCTAGCATAACATGGGGAACCAACTTCTTTATCAGCAGACCTACCAGAGATCCATTCCTGTTTATATGTTGATGTGAAGGAATGGCAAACCATTAATAGAGAGAAGTTTCATTTTAGTGGTGTTGAAATTAGCATGACTGCAGTTTTTTTGGGGGGGTAGGGGTTGAGATCATCTGGTAATTTGACCTTTTTGAACAGATTATCAAGACAGGAATAAATGGTTGTATTATCACCATAGATACAAACTTGAGAATTGATGTCATCAGGAACGTCATTGGTGCAACAGGCCTGGGAGACGCTTGCATTAAAGTACAAAAAGATCTAGAGGAGTGGTCATTCAGGATAACTTTCATTTCATAATTTGATAAGAAAAACTGAATCACTTCAAATATTTGTTTGGAAATACCATAACCTTTCAACTGAAGAAAACCAATATGCCAAACCCTGTTAAATGCTTTCAAGATGACCAAAGCAAAATCCTAAGTTTCACAATTTTCATCTAAAGCTTGATAGCCTCTTTCAGCAATAATCATTAATACATCAGCAGTTGACCTAGAGAAGTGAAAGCTATATTATTTGTCTGAATGAAGGCCCTGAGATGTGAGATGCTTAACCAATTCAGAGTTTATTAAGGCCTTTAATTTACTAGAAAGATAGAAGGGTCAGATAGTTCACATGAGTTCTTAAAGATTGTTCTTAAAGCAACAAGGCATTTATTACACAGTTTAGAGAGAACAGAAGCCAGTTTGGGAACACACTTCTTAAGGACTATTACAGGGTACCGTCAGGCTTCGTGGGGTTTGCTTAGCTTTCATCAACTCAGTAGCAGCAGCTACTATATGTACTGCCTGACTTTAATCTTTCCCAAAATTTAATCTATATTTTGTCTACTAGTGCCATATCATTTTATCATGGAAAGAGATTACTGCAAATTAAATTTTGCATACCAGAAGTACAAATTTTCAAAGGTGTTCGATAAATATGAATTCACCAAGTTTTTTTTAAAGTACTATATGATAGAATTGAAATAAGTAATATGTTAAACTTAAAAGTTATTTTTAATTTTGCATGCAATAATAATAATAATAATAATAATATGGTAAGAAATAGCTTCTTCAGAATCATCCATCTTGAAAGTTGGGAATGGGATTTAACAACAGAGAAAACGAAAAGAGCAAATTAAGTTCAGTTTTTAACTGTAGCTGCCTATATTAACCTTGTGCCATATCCCATTCAAGTGTGTGTGAAGATAAGGACTGTCTAGAAATTTCAAATGAAAATCCTTTATTCAAGCAAAAGTGATAGACTGTTCTTATTCTGCTGTCCAGGTTTGAGGCCACATGTTGAAACACCAGTTCTTGTATGATCACCAATGTTAAGCAAAGTCGAGTGTTGTCAGTACCTAGATGAGTGATTGCTTGGAAAATACCTGGTGCTGTAAGCTTGGACGGATAATGGTTTGGAAGTGTTAATCGAAGAGCTGTGTTCTAATTCCCATTGGGTTCATTATATTCACTTACGCATAAATACTCTTTGGAAAGATAGGAATCCACCTCTTTTTTTTTTTCTTTAATTACTTACCAATAAATAGCAACAAATACAGGTTTAGTAACCCTCATGAGATGGCATACTAGCCCTCTGTGCCACGCCAGGAAATTTTTCTCCCCAGAATCGATACTTCAAATATACAAATCAACCATTCGTCCTTGCATGAAGTATTGCTGCCATATATGGTCTTGGGCACTTTTGTTTACCTCGGAGTTCTTGACAAGATCCAGAGACGTAATGTAATTGGCCCTGATCTGGCATCTCGTCTACAGTCCCTCTCTCACAGATGCGTCATCGCCTCTCTCTGTCTTTTCTACAAATACTTTCATGGTAATTGCTCCGATGAGCTGCTTTCACTGGTTCCCAGTCTCCATGAATTCAAGCGCCCTACGAGGCTGGCATCCCGCTCCCACCCTTACACTGTAGAAACTTTTAAATGTAGCCGTCTCTTCTACTTCAATAGCTTCATAACTCGCACCTCTCGCCTGTGGAACACCCTTCCCAATTACTGTTTCCCTGAGAGCTATAATCTCCAACTATTCAAATGTAATGTCAATCGACACCTCCAGTTACCTTGATCTACCCACTATCCTTCTCCTCATCCTTTCTTCTATCACTCCTATTTGCTCTCGCTCCAAATCTTCTGCAACCCCCTCATCCTAGTGGCTTCACGCCTTGCTCGCGGTGTAATGCTTAAAAAAAAAAAAAAAAAGTTAAGAAATGTGCTTGGAAGTTATAAGATAATCTACTTAACTGTAGGAATTGATTTGTGTAAGTTTATCAGTCCAAGGTGAAAATTCTCCTAAATTGAAATCAATCTGTACCTATCAAAAGCACATATTCTTTGCTTAGCCTTTTTTTCAAAGAGGTTGCTTTCAAATTTGCCATCAGCTGCTTCATCACATTCTCCTTATTCTTATTCAAAGACTATTTTTCCAATGTTGCAAGGTGCCAAGTGTGGATTATAAAAACCTGGCTGATATTAAAAAACAAAACCTGTACAAGACATGAAGAATTTACTCACATGGTCATTGCGAATGTAGGTTTTACATACCTATTCAATGATTTCTCACTACCAAGTGAAGAACCCCATGAGACTGGTTGCAAAGTTGCATCAACATATACAAAATGATTGGATATGTTCTGGACAGAACACTTAGCTAAATAGTCAGAGATAAACTTACTCAACTTACCTTTTGTGTTTCACAGGGCAAGATAGGAGAAATGTGGAACATCCTTTACAAGGTTCTACACCAAAGCTTGAGGAATTTAAATAGTATGTGTCAATTGAACATTGCAAAGACTTTTAGCTGCAACTCTTTGAAATATATAGACTGCCAAAAGAAAAAAAAGACTACTTTGAAAATGATGTTGTAAACTCAGTTGCTTTTTCTCTTTAATGATCAAATTCCTCAAACTTTTGAGATTATATATTTATATATATGTCATATATTTTTCCCATATATATAAAGTTGAAAATGTTTTTGTGTGTCACATTTCAGGATACTTTAGTACTTCATCAGAATAAATTTGTCATGTTGGTACAACTACACATGTGCACAGATGAGGGAAGCAGGGATTTAAAAATGTTTTTAAAAAAAATTCCCAGCATTCCTCATCCACATGCATATGTAGTTACACCAACATGACAAATTTACTCCAATCAATCAAGTTCTAAAGGATGAAATGCACCACACAAAAAACTTTTCCCATCTTGTCATATATATATATATATATATATATATATATATATATATATATATATATATATATATATATATATATATAGAGAGAGAGAGAGAGACAAACAGACAAAGTACTTGGCAAGAATTAAGCAACAACAAAACAAGCTTTTTTTTTTGGTTACACAGAACTTTATTTTATTTTTATTTTATGCCAATTTGTGATGATTTCAAAAAGAAAAAAAATTTAAAAATTAAAAAAAAAAACATTTGCAACACAAACAAAATTGTTTGTGATTTTTTTTCTTTTTACAATTGCAACTTAATCAGTAATTCTGTTTATTGGGTCTTTGTGTTTTTTGTTTGTAGATTTTTTTTTTCTTTTTCATCTCTTCAACTAGATTTGCTTTGGAATTTTTTCTTGCTTTTTATTTATTTATTTATTTTTTTTTTGATTCCTTGTAATGTCAGTTTGTTTTAAACATCAATAATGTACAGTGTTTTTTTTTTTTTTTTTGTTTCATCCTCTGGTTTTAAAAGAACAGACTCAGGTCAGTTGGGTGAAAAAAGTTATTATTTTACAATTAAGATGCTCCATAAAACTGGAAATCTTTCTATGAACAATGGCATTTGGCCTGTACAGCTCTGCCAAAAGGAAATTACAAAAAGAACAAAAGAATTAAACCATTTTTCAATTCTCAGGAAGTAGGGGTGACTTGGATCACTTAGACCCACCCAGCTGGATATATTGTCTTTGGTAATTGTAGGAATTAAGAATTTTTTTTTTTTAAACTGAAAAAAACAAAAAAAAAACTGCAATCATTTCTAATGATGCTGACAAAGAGAAAGATACTCTAATGGTTGTAAAAGAGAAGTCTTATTTAAATTTCAAAACAGTAAGAGTAATTTTTTTTCTTCCTTAATAAATCCTGTAGGAAAACTTATTAATCTCAGTATCTAAAATGTCTCTAGCTAGAGTTTATTAACAATGTTTTCTTTATTTTTCCTTTCATAGTTTCAAGATGAACTAAATATCAACTGAATAAGTCGAACCAATAGGAAATTTTATCAATGGTCATAGTAAATTTGCCAAAAAGTGACCCAAATGACCCCCACGATGGCATTCAAATCATATTGGTCATATGGGGGGGAATGACAAGAAATCTTTGATCATTTTGCAAACTGTTCCTCAGATCTTTGTTCTTTTTCAGTCTTGCATACAACTTTGGTCAACATCATCAAAGCAGTTATTTCAGTTTAATTGATGGTAAATGTGTGTAAGGTTTTATTCTGCTTCTAAAATTTCAGTCAGTCCAGTTCCAATGTCAGATGATTTGGTTTAAATTAAGATTTAAAAGAAGCCAGAATTCTGATGGCAGTTAGGGAAATGAATTAAGTGAAATATTGCTGAAAAATCATGGTAAAGATGGGAGGAACAGTTTGGACAATTTCTAAAAGCTTATTCTTAATGTTATTTCATTTCATGAACATAAACAGATAATAATCATTTCATTTCTCTACAATTCTTTTCAAAATGACTGTCACCATGTCTTCTGCTCATTCACCAAACTCAATTCTCGACATTTGTGCCCAATTTAAAGCCGAAATGATGAACAACATTCATGCCAAAAATAATAAAATTCAAGGTTAATAATTTGAAGAAAAAAAAAAAAAAAAAATCTCTTCAATGTCTTATCTCAAAAGCACCTGATTTGTTTTTGTTTTAAACCAATAAGTTCTGTAATCAAGAATATCAGACAAAAACAGTTTTGTTTTTTTTTAAACTTGATTGTTTTGAACTAGACAATCAAATAATAAATTTTAATTAGTTGGTAAGATTTAAAAAAAAATGATTTAATGAATCATAAACAAACATGAAACATTCTAAGATGAGTGTACAGTCTAAATAATCAGGCTGGTAAAATAATTAAAAACAAATTATTTGGAAGTCATTTGTAAAAAAATAATCTATTAGATGTGAAGTGTCAATGAAACTATTTGTGACAATATAACCAGAACCAAACAGTCCTCTCTCTCAGCCACAGAGGCTGCAACTATTGTCAGCCATCAAGGCTCAATGGAGAATACTTCATTTTAGCCACTCATATCTAACAAGAGACAATTTATTTGACTTTCAAATAATTAATAAAAGTATTAAAAAAAATGGTCGGAGGTTGTGCTTTTTTTTTTCCCAAACAAAAGATGAAGAGAGAAAAAAAAAAAAAAGGAAATTTTCAAAGTAAAAAAGGCAAAAACAATTTTTTTTTTAATCTAAATATACGAAAGAATTCAGATATGCAGCTTTTACTTCAAGGATCAGTTGACTTGAGAAAAAGCAAAAAAAGGAAAAACCTAAACCAAATTAATATAATGCAGAATTGAGGGGAAAAAAAATAAATGAGAAAATTATAATTTTTAGCAAAGTGAAGGGTGTTGTATTAAATTTAATAATAGTTCAAACACAAATGTACATAAATAATAAAAAAAAAAAAAAAAAAAATCAATCCTGATTTTCAGTTCTGTATTGTAAGTTGACATGATTTTATCAAAAATTATTAGCATGAATTTTTGATTAAATGATGTTTCAGATGATAAAAAAAAAGAAAGAAAATTAAAAAAACAAAAACAAAAAAAAAATGAAACAAATTCATAATAATCAACAATGAACCTTTTTTTCTTATTAGTTGGGGGAAGTGGACGAGAGTTAACAACATTTTTTGTTTTTTGGTAGTCTCTTTAACATAAAATGAAATTCTCTCAAAAAATACCTTGAAGAATCAGAACACAAAATGGTAAGTGAAGAGAATATAATTATAATTTTTTTTTTTTTCTTGTGAAAGTGAATGTCTTTTTGAAAGTCTGGAGTAAAGAGTTGGCAGTTCAATAAACAAGATTATTTATATATAATAAATATATATATATATATATATATATATATAGTTATGTAATTATTCTCTCTTTTAGTAGCTCTTAGAATACTTTTTCATATTGATTTAAATTTCCAGGTTAACAAACTCACTTTATTGTCTGTGCTGAAGTCTTGCCCAATTTATTTTACATTGGAATTCCAAGCAAAAAATTTTATCCACCATATAGATCCAATATTTATTTTACAAATACACTGATATCTTGTGATTTTAATGTTGTGCCAAAGAAATAATAATTTGGCACTTAGGCTAACTATAAATGTTTTTGCTTTGACAATGTTCGAGTGTTCAAGGATTATTATGAAGCCAAGAATTATAAAAACTGATTCCTTAAAAGAACAGAGTATGACATTAATAATTAAAAAAAAAAATATATATTTAAAGATTCACATGTGAAAATCTAATAACGATTACTCACAAAATTGGTAAACTTTTATCAATATAAAGTGAGGGAATAGTTTTTATTATTATCCAATAGTAACAAAATATATATTAATATAATATTTGGAAAGGGAAAACCTAAGTGCTAAACAAAATATGCAATCAGGACATCATGAGAAATCTTAGAACCGGTTAATGATTCAAAGACCCCCCCAAATCTTTTAAAATCTCATCCTTCCTCTCTTTTCTGCTAGTCAGGGACAGGGTTTATATATATATATATATATATATATAGTATTACACAACAAAATCCAAAATTACCTCGTGTTTTTAGACCTATTTCAACTGACGAAAACTATGTCAGTCTTATTCAACCCCATGTCTATACACCGAGGTTGTATAAGACTGACGTAGCTTTTGTTGGCTGAAATAGATGTACCCCCCCCGCCGCCACATGACATAATTTTGGATTTTGTTGTTTGATACTATTGATATAATAGATTGAGCTCTTATTGTCGATCAGTTTTAATATTTTATACTACTAAGATACTCTAGGATTATATACCAATGGGTTTATTATTATTATAATAGCTGGCCACTCGTATTCAAGGATACCACTCGCTCAGGTACATTTGTGTTTATTCAACACCAACAGAGCCCACCTGTGGTTTATACTGCAATTATGCTGAGCAGACCTTAGTTACACTTTCTGTGAGAGAGCATGTTACCTAGCATGGTCAACAATTTGAACAAGGCCAGCACGCACAAGCCCTCGGCCATGATGACTTGTGGCTTTGTGCTAGCACAGCTATTGCTGACCCCCAAGTGTTCCATCTACCCAATTTCACTCACAAAGCTTTGGTGAACCAGAGGTATGGTTTTCAGGCACTTTCCCTGGGGTCGAGGAAGTCTCCTTCCTGACAGATTGACTATGGTGAGATTCAAACTCATCTCATGGTCAGGAAACAAATGTTCTAACCATGCTCCCATATATATATATACACATACAACCAGGTGCTGAAAGGTTCTTGCCACAATCTACTTCTCAATATCTGATTAAGCTAAAAATGTTTTAGCCCATATCTCAAATCTATGTTTATTATTGTGTATGTGAGTGGATATATGTAGGAAGGGAAAGTCAAAATTATTTGCACTCTTGATTTTAATATCTTATCACAAAAGTGTGTATAATTTGTGACTTAGCCTCATATATTATAGTGCCTATATATATATGCTTATTGTTAATCTATTTAATGCAACATGACAGATTACTTAGAAAAAAAGAAAAAGATTTTAAAAAATTAAAATGATAAAACTGATTTTTGTTGGCATTTAAAAAAAAAAAATCTTAAGATAAAAGTAAAAATATTCTAAAATAAAGCTGACGAAATCCATCCATACTTTTTTTTTATTTACTCCACAAATGGGGAAAAAGACTCAGAACTTTTTGTTCAGTATTATTCTGCCAAGGATATGGTCACTTATGTGGGAGGTGCTGAGAAGTTCTTGGGAGGGTGGTGAAAACCTGTTGCTTCAAATTAGTATTTGGTCATTGAGTTCTGCCAGCAAACCTTTAAGTACCCACTATAATATATAATATAATATATTTATATATTCATAATATAATATAATATAATATGTATATAAAGAAAATTAACCACACTTCTTGATTATTGGTCAAATACCAGAAAGCAGTTTCCTTTAATGAATCAAATTTGTTACCCAAAGCTTTAATATTGCTTTTATGATTCTTCCTACATATTTATCAGTCATGTAGTCTGATCTATAGTTCTTGATAATGAAATATTCCATTGTCATGGTAACAAGAATTATCATTTGGTGCCAATAAGCAAACATAACTTGTGTTAGTATAAAAGGAATATTTTATAAATCATGAAAAAAGTTATTGTTTTGTTTTTTCTTTTAATTTTTTGTTAGAAATGCAAATAAAAATCTTGCATTACTAATATGGAAAACAATCAAATCCAAGCTTTATTGGCCTTCCTTTTTTTTAATTTTTTTGAAATACAAATAACATCCATTTAATTTTTGTAAATTGAATAATGCAGGCAACACTTCAGGTTTGCCCCCCAGTCCCAGGAAATTATTTTTTGGCATTTATCATCTTTGTAACCTTTTAATTATTTCATGAAAGTGATTTTATTATTATCATTATTGTATGAAAAATATGGAAAGTTAATTTTCAAACAAATAACCTGAGGGTTGCTCCGAAAGTATTTCCTCCTATTTATCAGGCCATGCTATCAAAAGTTTATGATATAGCAATAGAAGTCAAGCCAATATTTTTTTTTTCTTTACCTCATTACAGGCAGCAGATTAACAGTAGTTTAGTTAAATTGTATCTGACATGAAAGTATGTACAGATCAGAGATGTGCCATTCAATTTCTCCATGAAGAAAAATATTGCACTTGTTATTATCATGGCCATTGTACTCTCTGGATCCAATTTGACAGAAGGCCAGA